ATTTTCTCTTGACTTCCCTATTTTTTTTAACTCTTGTAAGTGCTTTCGTTTTCCTTTGTTGTGCCTTATTAGTAGAGATCAGAAGAAAATCCTAATATCAACTCAACTTCATTGCTTCTCATTCTGCTATAATATTAAGCTATTCGAATTTGTCAATTTTTTCTCACAGATTAAATCAAATCAAAATGCATCCTTTTCTTTTATGTATAATGAGTCCTGTGTTATTTTTGTTTTTTTTATTTTGTTTTTCTTTCCTTGCTCATTTCTCTCATATTTTTTCTTTGCCTAAGTTAGTTCTATCTTCTCTCCTTTTTTTTAACTTTTGGTACATTGCTTGTTTTAGTTAGTTTTGACATTTTTCTATATTTTTAGATCCTCTGCGTGTAATTATTTATTTTATCTCTTCTTGAAGTAAATTGGCAAATAGAATCTATTCTTTTTCCATTTTCTGTATTGATTTCTGATTGATTAAAGCAGTTAGTTTATCCATGTACTTCATTTCTTCGACCTTCATTTTCCAGTCTTCTTCTATTTTTGGGCATTCCCCAGTTTTCCACCCTCTAGCAATGATTATTCTTGCCGCTGTTACTAAGTATAGGATTATTCTTCAGTATTTTACCCTTATTTCTTTATTGATTTTTGTGGCTATATTTAACAAAAATAGTTCTGGAATAAAAGGGATTTGAGTCTTAAATTTTTGTTGCATGATTTTATGTATTTTTTTGCCAGAATTTTTGAATTATTGGGCAAACCCACCACATGTGATACATTGTGCCAGCTTCTTTTTGGCATTTCCAACATCTATCATCAGCCTTTTATTAATTTTCTTTAATTTGCTTGAAGTGAAATACCATCTGTTGGTGATTTTCATAAAATTTTCCTTCAATTCCTGTGACGCTGTAAAAGCATTTGTTTTGTTTTTTTTCATGTATCTTCCCAATCTTCTAGAGGTATTGGGTGCCCAATATCTCTTGCCCAGCTGATCATAGTATCTTTGACGTATTCTTGTTCAAACTCCCTTTCTAATAATACCTTATAAAATCTGGAGACTTTTCCTTTGTCTGGGGATTGCAAAATTTTATCAAACTCATTTACATTCTGTTGAAATTCTTGTTCTTTTGTGTCTTCTTTATATTTGCTCTTTATTTGATGAAAACTAAACCACGTTAATATCTGCTTTTTTTAGATCTTTTCTTTCTAAAAGATAGTAGTCTCCTTTGTTGTTTTTTCTTAATAAATCTTCGTATTTTAACCAAGTTCCTGCCTTACTCCTTTGAAAAAAAGCTTCTTGAGTAGAAATCCATAAGGGGATTCTCTGGTAAAATTAACACTTTATACTTAACCATGATTTTATAAGCGATTTTCTCAAGATGTGGTTATTGAAATCTTTATTTATTTGAAGTTTATTGTACCAGACATATGCATGCCATCCAAATCTGTTTCTAACTCCCTCTAAGTCTAATATTTTTTTATTATCCAGCTTTATCCAGTTTTGTATCCATATCATACTACATGCATAATGATAGATTCTAAAATTTGGTAGCGCATATCCTCCCCTTTTTTTATCATCCTGTAGAGTTGACCATTTTATTCTTGGTTTAGTGCCTTTCCATAAAAATTTATTTATCTCTTTATTCCATTCTAAGAAAGTTTTCTCTTTAGTAATTATTGGAAGGTTTAGCAACAGATATAGTATCTTCGGCAAAATATTCATTTTATTGTTGCTATTCTTCCCAATAAAGTTCATTTTATTCCATCTTGTTAAATCTCATCAGGACTATCAGATGTGTTGGCTCTCCCATGTCTTTAAGGGCATTCCATAGCCTTTCAGGATCCATACAGTCAAAGGCTTTGCTATAGTCTAAAAAGCTCATGCTGATTTTCTTTTGGGATTCTCTAGTGTGCTCCATTAGCTATCCCTAAATGTGTTTCTTTTAGTAATCAATGATTGCCATTGAATCTGTCATTTAATATGGCGTAAATACCCTAAAAGCACCAGATTGTCAAACCTAGGCAGGTTCAGGCCTAGTTAGTACTTAGATGGGGTTACATTTCAGAGGCAGAAACAGTAAAAATCACCTCACAGTATTCCTTGCATACAAAAGCCCTATGAAAGATTCACAGGGGTCACCATAAGTAGACAGGTGACTTGAAGGCACACTTTGTTGTTGTTGTTGCTAACTGCCCTCAAGTTGATCCCAGCTCATGAAGACCCTGTGGATGAGACATCTCCAAGATCCTCTATCCTCCACTGCTCTGCTTAGCCCTTGCACATTCAGGTGTGTGACTCTCTGTCTCTCTCACACACACACATATATATATTGCATGTCTTTGTCCTTAACTTGCTTCAATTCTGGGAGCTGTGACCCAAAAAATTAATTTTTCTAATCATTACTGATTTCAACTGTGACACAAGGGAAGAAGAGCTATCAGTCCCAGGAATCTTTCCTTTTCTTTGCAGGGGTCCCACAGAAGCTGTCTATGAGTAAGAACTGGATTGTGTCCTACACGTGTGCACTGCATCACATCAGGAAAAAGGCTTTGGAAATCCATCTAGAATGTTTCCCTGC